CAGTCCTTCATGCCAAAGCGCTCCAGAATGTCCAGAGTGTACTGATGTTGGGAGAGGGAGATGGTGCGATTACTTAGGTCTCTAGTGATGGAAATGCCAAGTAGGTAAGAAGTAGGGCCAAGATCACGAAGCTTAAAGTGCAGGGAGAGGTCCTTGACAGCTTGGTCAAGTGCAGAGGTAGAAGTGGATGCCAGTGTCATGTCATCAACAAAGACAGGCAGGATAATGCGCACATCAGCTCTGTTAAAGACATAGATGGCAGAGTCTGAATAAGTACGCTTGAATCCGAGTTTTTCAAGCACAGTGTGCATCTTCTGGTTCCACATTCTGCCTCCCTGCTTTGTCCCATAGATGGCCTTGTCCAACTGGCAAACAAGATTGCGAGGACCCTGATGGAATCCCTCTGGCTGATGCATGTAGACCTTGACATCCATGACTCCATTCAGGAATGCATGGGAAATGTCAATGGAGCGCAAATGGAGGTTGTGGATGGCTGCAATGGCAAGGAAAACTCTGATGGATGATATGCGGACAGTAGGTGCAAATATTTCGAGGAAATCAAAGCCAGGGCGCTGGTTATAACCTTTGGCCACATATCTGGCCTTGTAGCGCTCAACAGTGCCATCTGAGTTGCGCTTGATCTTGAAGACCCACTTGCCACCAATAGCCTTGACTCCAGGAGGTAGTTCCACTAGTGACCAAGTACCATTGCGCTCATGAGCTTGAAGCTCTTCCATGGCTGCCTCTCTCCATTTATCTGCATCAGGACGCTTCATTGCATCTGCAAATGACCTAGGCTCAGCAGAGTCTCCAAAGTGTGCCGCTTCATCATCAACTGCCTCAGAATCACTGTCATCACTCTCAATGGCAGGAGTAGGTTGTCTGTGTTGAAGCCACCATGGTCTAGGTGGTCTCCTAGCCCTTACAGGGCGTCTCAGTGCAATAGGCAAGTCAGGAGAAGGTGAGCGATGAGGAGGGTGATTTGGAAGCTCAGGAGGTTGATTCACAGGTGGTTTTGCATCAAGGTCCAAATGAGGCCCATTGTCAGGCAATGGCTGAGGCTGCTGAAGCGCAGCTGGTGGGCCCATATCTCCCCCTGGACCTGGTGCAGGGACATCCTCAATCAGCCCAATGGCATGGATAGCGAAGGTGGAGTGGGAGGTGGAGGTGGGACATTGTCAGAAGACCTCTTCAAGCCAGGGAAGTAGCGCTCATCAAAATCAGCTCTCTCAGAGATAACAGTGCGCTTGGTGGTAGGATTGTAGAATTTCCATCCCTTGTATCCCTCAGGGTAACCAATGAACACACATTTCTCCATATGAGAGCCAAAGACGCCTCTTTTGTCCTTTTGCACATGCACATAGGCAGTGCAGCCCCAAACGCAAAGGTGAGACATGTCAGGCTTGCATCCATACCACAACTCAAAGGAGTGGCATGGGCCACTGCATCAGTGGGACACCTGTTCCAGACATGCACCAAAGCGGACAGACATTCACCCCAGAAGCTGTTAGATAATGCAGACTCTGATAACATGGCAGTAATACGCTCAGTGAGAAGTCTGTTTGCTCGCTCTGCCACACCATTCTGCTGAGGACGATTCCTGGTGGTATGCTGTCTGACAATCCCATGGTCATCTGTGAATTGCTCAAATTCCTTGGACATGTACTCTCCCCCTTTGTCATCGCGCAGAGCCTTGATTTTACGCTCCAATTGAGTCTCAGCATAAGCCTTGAATCTCTTGAAAGCATCAAAGACACCCGACTTGGCCTTGAGAGGCACAACAACACGGAATCGACTGTGATCGTCAATGAAGGTGACCCAGTAGCGATAACCAGAGAATGTGGGGGAAGAGACTTGGTGTACATCAGAATGGATGAGGTCCAAAGGATGAGCAGAGCGAGTATCAGATGAGGGGAATGGATTGGCATGCATCTTGCCAGACAAGCACGGTTCACAGACAGGATCAGGAGCAGCCTTGGATTCCAGTGTAAGCCCAGTGACCAGATCTCTCTGTATCAGTCTCTTGACATCAGCATGATGGTGGTGAGCCAATCTGCGATGCCAGAGCATCAAATCAAGTGGTATAGTCGCAGTAAAATGTCCCAATTCAACACAAGCAGCAGTAGATCCATCAAGGAATGCTGCACTGTTGTCATTGATAGTTGCAGTGAACAAGAGAGTGTTGTCACGCATAAAGGACATGGAATGAGACGAAATAGTGACATTGAAACCACTTTGACGAGTTAAATACAAGACTGAGAGGAGATTATTTCGAAGATCTGGTACATGAAGCACTCTAGAGAATTCCACAGCCCTAGCCACTTTGCCATTCATCACAGGATTAAACACCACAGTACCAACACCAGCTGAATAGACAACAGTGTGATCAGCCAGCTTGATTGGCACACGATATGGGGTATAGTGGTGCATCCAATGACGATGAGGTGTCATATGAGAAGTGGCGCCTGTGTCTGCATTCCAATCAATGTCAGTATCAAGTTGGAGAGTGCAATGAGGATCAGAGGGATGAATGGAACGAAGACTTGCATTTCCAGCTGATTCAGTGACCACAGTAGATGAATTGGCATTGTTGGGCGAAGATTTGGGCTGCTGAGAGGTATTCTGAGAGTTGCTGGAGCCTGCCTGAGCCTTATTGCCACGCTTGTAGCGATTCTTAGCACCCTCCACTGCCTGTTGGCGACTAGCAATGTATCTGTGGCATTTGTCTTGGGTATGACCAAGTAAACCACAGAAATCACACTGAACACGAGTAGAGGTGGTGGATTGGTTGCAATGATGGCAGTTAGGATGGGTGCAGGTGCTATTGGCAGTGGTAGACGAAGAATGCAAGGCAGAATCGACTTCAGCACGACGACGGCGATTGACCTCTTCAGCAAGGAAAGCATCCCTGAGCTGGGTCTTGTCCAAGGTGCCCAGAAGTAGTAGAGATGAAGTGAAGTGGGCATATTGATCAGGAAGCGCCCTAATCATGGCCATGCATGTCAATTCATCGTCCAATTCAGACAATGAGAAGCCAGTGGGACGAAGATTTTGAATCTGATGCATGCCTTCGTCAATTCTGGTCATGAGAGACTGCAGGGACTCGTCCTCCTTCTTTCTGATAGAGAAAAAGTCGTCATAGGCATTAAATCTCGTCCCAGGCTTCTTAGAGACGTGCACAATTGCCAGTTTCTCCCAGATCTTGACAGGATCATCAATGATGCCATCAAGATGGATGCACTGCTCTTTGGTGACATTGAGGTATAATGCACCAGCAGCCTTTTCAGCTCTCAACTCCCATTTCTCTATTGCTTCAGTGTCAGTCCCAGGACACTTTTCAGCGCCAGAGACGAGCCTCCACAGTCCCTTGGTCATCAACCAAGCTTGCATTTCACCACTCCACTGGGGGTAGTTAGTGCCAGACAAGGGATGGAACTTGGGATCAGAGTCAGACATGATGGGTGTTGTATAAGACAATAGAGCAATGATAAATGATGTAGGAGACGGCTATAGGCGATGGCATAGTGGCAAAGACAATGGGCAACAGTAGGAGGCGAGCAGATAAGATGGTGAGGCGGTAGAGAGAGGATATGGAGAGGGTCAGAAAGTGCAAGGATAGGTCCAAATAGGGTCCAAAAAGCGTCCAAAAGTGATCCAGGAGGGTGCTAAGGCTTCCTAGTGCTGCTACAGGGTTACGCCTGTGTTCCCCTTTCAATTCCACACTGATATTAACAGAGAAATCGCCTCGAGACAGTGTTGGTTAATAGGGCTTGTATATGAGTCAACAAAGTGACTTAAGCTCCCCAAACACCGCAGACTGAGAGAGGCTCTAGGCAACAGCAAACTGAGGCAATGCAGGCGAGCTTCACAGTCTATAGGCTTGTTCTATCTGATAATGGACAGAGTAGAGAAGATTGGAGCTTTATGCACACACCAGATATGCCAAAAAGCGAAAAATAGGGCAAAAAGTCGAAATTGATGCAGAGACAGATAAGATGGATGGATTGCCACCAAATCAGAGGTATAGGGAACGTTTTTATAGAGTAATAGATGGCCCAAATATCACAAGAAGTGAAGCACAGGATGTGGAGATATGCAATAGGAGTCCAATAGGGGTGAAAGTGCCAAAAATGCGAACTTCACAGAGGATGATGGAGTGGATGGATTGCCCCCAAATTGAGGGTGTAAAGTGCAATAGTATAGGGTAGTAGATGGCTCAAATAGGGCCAAGATCCGAGCACAGGATGTGGAGATATATGGAATAGGGGGCCAAAAGATGATCAAATGATGATGAAGGCTCACAGAAAGATCCAGCTCAAATCCAACCGCTCTGACAGGTCTTCTAGGGTTATTTAGGCCGTAGAAGACGATGGTAGAAGTTACAGGACGATCAGATAAGGATTGGGCAAGATATGGTGCAGATAAGACCAAAAAAAGCGTCCGAAATGGGGGTAACTTGCAACAAGGAGTTGTTGTTGGAGATCAAGATGAGATCAGAGTAATCTGAGGTGATGGATGAGGTAATAAGAGTCCCAGAAGACGATGGTTACGATGGATAAGCAGTAGGACGCTTGGATGGTGAGATATAAGGTCAGAAAGATGGCTAGAGCACAGGGCTCATAACCTATTAAGAACAAAGCTTGAAGGAAGTGTCTAGCCACTTGTTGAGAGCAATCAGGGACTGGAACTAGAGTCCAATGTGAGTAACTATATTATTAGAGAGTATGACAGGTATACAGTACCTAGAGTCCAATGTGAGTAACTAGAGAATAGGAAGCATTGGACTCTGCAGTACTGTCCGAAGTTTTGTAAACAAAGGTAAACAAAGCAGCCACAAAGGCGAAATAATAGAGAACACAATCAATAGTGAATGATAGAAGAATAGATAGAGAAAGGAATGAAAATATATAGGTAGCACAAAGGTGCAGAATCACCAAAACTAACAAGTGGGGACCCCCAGTTACGTCTTTTTACTATACTTTACAAGAGAACAAGTCGACATGTTGTCGCAACCCCAACAAACTGATGTTAACGCTCTGTTGCACAACATGCATGCACAGATCCTGGCATTGACCACGCAACTCGCCGAGCTGCAGGTGAACCCCCCTGCAGCAACCCCCTCGGTTTGAAAAGAAGTTTAATAAGACAGTTGAAGTCGTCGCTGACCCCGGCGCCTTTGAAGGAGACAGAGCGCGATTCGCTGAATGGTAGATCAAGCTCCAGATTTGGGTCAAGGCAAACTGGGATGCATTTGCCGATGACTTTGAGGTAGCCACTGCAGTGCTATCTCGGCTAAAAGGACCTGTGGTGGGTCAATACGCCCAAGTACGAATGCAGGAGTGCTACACCACGGGAGTGTGGCCTACCTGGGATGATCTCAAAGTCGAGATCAAAAAATACTTCAAACCGCAAGCTAAGCATGACCGGGCGCATCAGCAAATCCGTACCTTCAAACAAGGAAATATGAGGATGGATGACTTTGTTACCCGATTTCTGGCCCTCTCCATCCAAGGGGGTTTGGGAAATGAACATGCAGTAGAGCTGTTGGACCGCAATGTGTCACCGGCCATTGCACAACAGCTTTACATACAAGATATGCGGAGCAAGAACCTTGCAGAAGCTGCTGAGGAGGTTCAAAAAATTGGTAGGGCCATAGAGCTCTACGCTATGCAATTTGGTGGCGGGTCCACCACCAAAAACAACTATTCCCAGAGGAGCCCTGGGTCATCAAACCAAAAACAAAATCACTCTCACAAGTTCCAACCATTTGGGTTGCAACCAGGGCAGGGAGCCCCTATGGATATTGGCGCGGTCCAGGGCGGACAAAAGTGCAGATTCACCTGCTTCAGCTGTGGGCAGGAGGGGCACATGGCCCAACAGTGTCCAAACGGAGCGCAGGCCGCTCAAAATAACCAAGGGCGCCAGGCGCGCCAATTAGAAACAGAAAAACCGGACGATCAGCTCCAGACTCTGGCCGGTCGTTTGTACGACGAGATCCGGGCCTTCTTTTACGACCAGCAGGTTGCTGAGATGAAGACTCAGGGAAAAGAGTTCGGAGCTTAGGTCACTTGGGTGTCTTTGCTCCTTTAAACAATGAAGTAAACCACAACAAGGTGGCCCCTGCTCCGGGGTGTTGCACGAGCAATAAAGGAAAGACGGGGATGGCTCCCCAATTTGTAAATAGATTTTTGAATTTATTATCTGAAGTATGTACTTGTATGCAAAGCTGTGACTGTGGATTTGTCTTGGACCCTCCTGATGATATAGCTGCTTTGAGCGCTAATTCAGTGGGTCAAGATGATGAAAGAGTTGATGCTGAAACAACTTATAATAGCACCGCTGTACTAGAGTCTCCCTTGGAGCGTGGCCCCGGCAAGACAAACAATAGGGTGCTTAATTCTGGTAAAAATAAAAATAAAAATATAGAAAATCTCAAAATAGAACAACAAGTTTCTTTTAATATCTCTTGTTCTTCTTCTCCGGAGCCACTTCCCACAGAAATCCCAAGGCGTGTGGTGATACACATATATTTATTCCAAAAAGAGATCCGCTTAGATGTTGGTGTGGAAAACCTTGCCCGGGGCATAGTACACCCAACCAGCGCACTGCTTGATTCAGGCGCTAACGGAATCTTCATAGATCAGGCCTGGGCGGAGCAAATTGGACTTCCCCTTATAAAATTAGATGTATCTATTCCCATCTATAATGTTGATGGTACGCTTAACACAGGTGGCTGTATCACACACAAATGTTTTTTTGTGGTCGAATACCAAGGACACGGAGAACGAGTCACCGCCAAAGCTACCCAACTAGGGAAGATTAATTTAATCTTGGGCTGGACCTGGCCATTTAAACACAATCCTGAGATTGACTGGCAGACAGGGGTTGTCACATTGTCACGTTGCCCTCAGGAGTGTGTAAACTTGGGTAAACCGAATCATGTCCGTCACAACGAGCATCTTGAGAAGATAAACACTGGTCACGTTTATGAGCTCAGATCTTCAGAAAAGATCAACGGTGACGATGATGAGGTAAAACCCGAAGAAGAGATTAAGAGGCTGGTACCTCCCGAGTACCATGACTTCTGGAAAGTCTTTTCAAAACATAAATCAGAGCGCTTCCCAGAGGCTAAGCCTTGGGACCATGCTATAGATTTGAAGGACACCTTCAAACCGAGGAAAGGACACATGATACCACTCTCCAGAAAGAGATGAGGTATTGAGTTTCATAGATGAACAGCTTAGAAAGGGTTATATCAGACCTTCCAAAAGCCCTATGACGTCCCCGGTGTTCTTCATTCCAAAAAAGGATGGTAAGAAGCATATGATTATGGACTATTGTTACTTGAATGAGTACACGGTTAAAAATGCATATCCGCTGCCTTTGATCAGTCAGCTAGTAGACAAATTGGCTGGCGCCAAAATCTTAACAAAGATGGATCTTAGATGGGGGTACAATAATGTACGCATCAAAGAAGAAGATGCTTAAAAGGCCATGTTCATGTGCCACCGAGGATCCTTCGAGCCCCTCGTTATGTTCTTTGGGTTGACCAATTCACCAGCGACCTTTCAGAGCATGATGAACGAGATCTTTGCGGATATGGAAAACTGTGTCCTTATTTGCATTGACAATTTATTAATATTTACGAAGTTGGACCATGAGGCTGAGCATGACAGGATCGTGCAAGAAGTCCTTTGACATTTACAGGAACGGGACCTATTTGTCAAACCCGAAAAATGTAATTTTAAAGTAAAGGAAGTAGACTTCCTTGGTATGATAATAGGCCAGAACGGAGTCAGGATGGACCCTGAGAAAGTTCAAGCTATATTGAATTGGCCAGAACCTACTTGCGTCAAAGGAGTTAGGGCCTTCCTTGGCTTAGGCAACTTCTATTGAAGGTTTGTTGAAAACTTCGCAAAAATAACGAGACCGTTGAACAATCTCATTAAAAAGGACGTTGTTTGGCACTGGGGCGCCAAGGAACAAGAAGCTTTTGATAAGCTTAAGCAGGCATTTACGACAGCGCCCATATTAGCATTTCCAGAATTAGATAAAGAGTTCCGGCTAGAAACTGACTCTTCTGATTTTGCTAGTGGGGCTGTTTTATCAATTAAATGCCCTGATGATCTTTGGAGGCCTTGTGCCTATTTATTGCATAGTTTGTCGCCTACAGAGTGCAACCATCAAATCTATGATAAGGAGATGCTGGCCATTATTAGAGCTCTGGAGCACTGGCGGCACTACTTAGAAGGTGCTAGGCGCCAATTTGAAATTTGGACCGATCATAAGAATCTGGAGTATTTGATGACGGCCCGAGACTTAAACTGAAGACAGGCCCGCTACGCGGTATACTTGTCAAGGTTTAATTATAAATTAATTCATAAGCCTGGAAGCTCTATGGGGAAAGCGGACACTTTGTCCAGAAGAGAAGATCATGCCAACGGCATAGAGGATGACAAAAAAGGTGTCACCCTGATAGACCAATCAAGGGTTGCCAATGTTCAAATCAGGCAGGATTCCGATCTTCTGGAAGTCTTCAAGAAAGACATCTCCTCTGAAGAGAAGGCGCGCCTCGACGGCAATAAAAACTATTTATGGGAAGACGGGCTCTTCCATTTTAAAGACAAAATCTATGTGTCTGAGTCCGCAAGGATCAAGGCAATAGACAGACATCACGACACTCCAGTGGCTGGGCACCCTGGGTGGCAACGAACAATGGAGTTGATCTCCAGAAACTACGTGTGGCCTGGCATGGTCAAAGACGTACAGGACTACGTAAAATCCTGTCTGAGATGTGCCATGGCTAAGAATTCTCACCAACCGCTGGCCGGTAAACTTATGCCAAATCCGATACCAGCTGGTCCCTAGCAAGATATATTGGTTGATTTCACAACGGATCTGCCCAAGTCAAATGGGTATGATTCAGTAATGGTGGTAGTAGATCGCTTCTCCAAAGAAGTGGTATTTATTCCCACCAACAAAACCATTACCGCCACTGGTACGGCAGATTTATTTAAAGATTTTGTATGGTCTATCCATGGGTTACCAGAAACGGTTATCTCTGATAGAGGACCACAATTCGCCAGCGAGTTTACGAAAGAACTATGCCAGATGCTGGGCATCAAACCTAAATTATCAACAGTGTTCCATCCGCAGACTGATGGACAAACGGAGAGGCTCAATCAGGAATTGAAGCAATACCTCCGTATATTTATCAACGACAGGCAGATGGATTGGGCCGAGTGGCTAAAGATAGCCCAGTTCTCATACAATATCAAACAGTTGTCGGCTACAGGAAAAGCACCCTTCGAGGTTACAAGATCCTACCTTCCAAGAATGGGTGTAGAACCTGGCAAAAGCAAGAACAAGGCTGCTGGGAACATGGCCAAAGACATGAAGTCTGTCTTAGATGAAACGTGCAAGGTGCTATTCAAAACTGCAGAGCAGATGAAAGACAGGGCAGAGCATAGACACTCTAAGGCCCCTGACTACAAGGTCGGCGACCTGGTCTGGTTAGACACCGACCACTTAAAGTTAAAAGACCGGCAGTCTAGAAAACTGACCAAAAAGTGGATTGGCCCTTACTGGATTAAGGAAGTTAAACCCAATGCAGTGGAGCTGGAACTCCCAAAACGGATGAGGGTAGTACCCACGGTCCATATTAGCCATGTGGAACCCTACAAAGGACCGCTGCTGGGACAGCACGTAGACCAGCCCGGACCGGTTGTAGTCACCCAGGAAGGTGAAGAAGAGTTCGAAGTCAAACAAGTGGTGGATGCACGCTTGAAGCATGGAAAATTAGAGTTCCTAGTCCTATGGGAGGGCTATGGAGACGGGGACAGAACGTGGGAACCAGAAGCCCATCTGGACAATTCCCGCAATGCTGTTCGCAAATTTTATTCTAAGAATCCCTCGGCTCCTAGGAAGCTTAGAGGCATGGATTCAAAACTTTTTAATTCCCTTTTTCAAACTATGTCTGAAAATCTAACTACCACCTCCGGTATCTGGTCTCGCCTGGAAGTCGAGCCTTAGAGGGGGGTAGTGTTACAATAACACATTTTCGGACCTTTAAATTTCATTCTCCTCTGTAAACCATTTTCTGTAGTTTTCACACACTGTGCTATGCGGCACTTTCCCTTTTGTTCAAACTCCCCTTTCTTGCGCTGCGCTGCCTTTCTTTCTATTTTAGATACAAGTCTCTCACGCAGTGGAGCTGGTCACACGGGCTGCGCCCTCTGACATCATCAGCCACTGCTTTTATCAACTGTACAGTACATAAGTACAAACACTCTGTATTAGTATATTTACCTCAATAGATCAAGGAGACTCCTCAGCAAGCCCTCCTGTTGTCTAGCATAACTAACTTGTTGAAACCTAAGGGGTGATCCCTTCCTTCTCTCTTCTCTTATGCTTGTCTGAGTTGTGCACAAGAGTAAGAAACTCTTGGTCATTACAGCCTGACTAAATGGTCACGGTTAACCAATAAGAAAAAAGGGAAGTATTGTATTTACTAATCATATGAGAGAGAGCCTTAGTAAAAGATGTATGGTTGGCTGTATCAGTAAGCCCATGAGAAGATACTGAGTCACAGCCTACATTGCTGATTAATCTCTTGCTGAAGTATTCCCGGACATAGCATTGAATCGTGGCTATGCCATTTGGATATCTTCTCAAGGATTTATGACGGTTCTCCTTTGTCATAAGTACAATAGAATGTGAGTATGAAGGGAAAATAAGAAGAAGAAAGATAGAAGTAATAAAGTACCGGCTGTGATCTCTAGCCCAAGGGTGAGAGGAGTGATGGGGAACAAGTTGGATAACCACAACATGATGGGAATGCAATGAGAAAAATTGATTCCTCACACAAGGTGAGTCAAGATCTTCAAAGGAAAGTGACACTTTACTGATGCTCGCATACAGAACAACTGAGGGGATTGAACAAACAGAAGGAATCATTCAAGCTCTAGTTTCATGGTCTGCTTCATGTGACCACCATTCTTCTTGTGGGTGCCATATGCATCAACAAGGTGCTCCTGAGTGGAGTTTTATTGAATTCACAGGTGCTATTGCACACGTACACAACTATGATGCGTGCTTGAAATACTAGCAGCATCACAGCAAGGGTGGCTATATACAATGACTGTCATCACATATTGGTCCCCACCCATGACAACCTCAACATTGCGGACGCATGAGCCAAAACAGCCAATATCACGACGCGTGATAAGTTTTCAGTTTAAGTTCTCTGTCACAGAGTCATCAATCTGCCCTAGCGCATATCTATCAAAGGGATTTGTACTATCATACAAAACCACAAAACCACAATCCGGGCCCACTTCTCTTAAGTATTATCTTTCCCTCCCTCCGTCAAACTCCCTCCCACCCACCAACATGCAGACGACGAGATCGCAGGTGGTCCACGACGTGAGTTAACTCAACTGTCACTCATCTAATTTTAACTCTCCTCGGTAAAAGTCATCGCATCCCGATCCACGCTCATCACTCTTGCATACTCCAAGAACAATCTAAGACCAGCCGGTCTAAAAGTCAGCTCAACCCCAACCCCCCCGAAAACGCAACGCCTCACCGAAACATATAAGCCGTCAAATCCTCCTTCCTCCAAAATCCCTTACTCCACCTCCTCCCCTCCTCCGCCACCCTCCTTGCCAAGTCTTCGTGGGCGCCGGCGCCTGTTGGGTCCCCACGGAAGAAGACGAGAGCGTCGTAGAGGTCGGAGAGGTCGAGTTGGATGGGGATGTAATGCACCCAGGGTTCGATGCGGTCTGTGAACCTGGGAGGGTTGGGGGTGAGGGATTAGTGTTGTTAAGCGGTTTGAATGCAGTGGTATGGAACGAGCAACTCACCACTCAGGGTATATTGTCGATTTGAAGATGAGAGAGTTGGAGGTGAGGAGACGTTTGAAACGGCTGGACCAGCCGTTCCCATCGACCTAAATTGACAGATTGTCGTCAACAAACTGACTTTCTCTGCATAATAGAATATAATAGAGATGCCGGACTCACGTCTAAAATATATCTATACCTCCCCGCCTGCTTAATACTCTGCTTCCTTCTCCAATCAAACACCTCATCCAAAACACGACACACCTCGGGGTCACATCCAATCGGCTCTCCAGCAAACTCGATATCCAGCAGCGCCGGGCCCAAATAAGCTTTCTTGCTCTCCACCAGCTCTCCGACTCTCTCGGTCGGAGAAGGGGGGGAGGGAAGGAGGGAGGTGAAGCCAGCGAGATCATGCGCCCAGCGGATAAGCCTCGCGCGATGCGCATACCGCCAATGCGTCTCAGGTCCATGAAATATCCCTGTATTACTCCCCCTCCACAACAGCCTCTCATCCACCTTATCCTCCCACTCCGGATCGTCGCTCCTTGGCAAAATGTCCTCCACCCAGTTATAAGCGAGCGCGGGGCGTATGTCGTGATGTAGCAGCGTAGAGCAGTGGGAGAACCGGGGGACAAGCGATTTTTGGGGGAAGGGGCCGGCGTCGTGTGAGAGGAATTGGCCGTGGGAGGTGAGGTGGTAGGGATGGAGGCAGGGGTCCATGCTGAGGGGGTGGTTGTAGATGAAGCGTTTGGTGGGAGGAGGGACAGGAGGAGAGGTGAGGGAGAGAGGGGTGTGGTGGGCGGGAGAGGAGGGAGAGCAAGCGTGTATCCATCCTTCGGTTTCTATGCGTGGTAGAGTGCTGATGTTGATAACTGGACACAAAAATGGGAAGGGTTAATAGTTAGGACTGTCCCAAGGACATAAAGACGCGTAACACTTACATGTCCGCGCCGCAGCCGCCTCGAGCGCCATAGACTTGATCCTATAGTCTGAAAGCATCCCAGGATTGTCATACGGAGACATCACAGCGCGAAAGGGAGGTATATGCTGCTGAACTCCCTGTATGACCTCTAGCAGATCCTTGATCGTCGCCGCCAGCAGGCCCTGGCGGTCTGGCGGAAGAGTGGAGTTAAAGACGGTGATGTAGTCGTTGGAGGGGCGTTTGCCGATCACGATCACGCCCTTGTCATTTTCGAGGTGGGAGAGGATGGAGGCAAGGTCGTGGGGGTCTATGCCCCAGTAGGGCTCGAGGTCTTTGTAGATTTGGTCGTACTCGTCGGGTAGCTGGACATTGTGTTTCGCGACGTAGTCCCACCTGCAAACAGTTCATAATTTTACATGTCAGTCAGCGCACTCAGATATGAGATGTCGAGATGTCGAAGACTCTACTACACGATCGATCGAGGATCGAGTAGCGATCGGGGATAGGGAGACGCGAACGCACCAGAGATCAAAGCCCTTGGGGGGAGGCCTATGGTAGCGTTTTTTATACTCTGCAATGGCTTGTTCGAAAGTTTTGCTAGCACGATCTAGCTTGGCGTTCCAAGATGCCTCTGCACGCTTGATGAGCTCGTAAATAGGGTGAGGCCCATTGAGGTTGACGACAAGCAGGCCATCATCGCCGTAATGATGTGGCTGCAGCCCTCTCGCCTCCCCGTCCTCTTCCTCTTCTTCCAGCGCAGGCAAATCCAATGGCGGCGGCGAAAGCGAAGACGCCGAATCAAGCTGAGCGCCAGACACGCATGCCTGAAAATTGACAGGGTCTTGTACGGTTTTTGATCTGTCGGAAGCGAAGATGATTTGGGGATATTTGACGACGGCGGAGATGACGACGATAGAGGCGGCGAGGGCGACTAGTCTGCGGAAAAAGGCAGATTTTGCCATTCGAGGAGGTGGGCGGAGACACACGAGGAAGTTCAAACGGTCAAACGGTCAAGCCTGGTGGTGAGGACCATCCATGGCCTAATTTACGGACTCTTTCTTTTTTCATGACGAGAGATGGGGATTTATGGCAGATTGGATGGGCGCCTGTGCAGGGCCAAGTTCGTGAGATGCCAACGAACCTGATTGAACGAGAGTTACTCGGTACCAGACCATCGTTGCCATGCGTGTCGTCTTCTAGAGGTGGAGTTGATCTCAAAAGACACATGCTTTCCAGAAATCGAAGGGAGAGAGGCCGTAAGTATCAAGCTATGAGTGTTGGGGCAGATAAGACTGATCGAGAAGAGCGTTGACGGAGAATCCCGAGACGAGCATCAGCGGTGATCGAGTTTAGAAGTCAACTTACCACAGGCACACTTGCCCGTACCAGTAACAGCGGACAAAGGTATCACAGTCACTACAAGATAGGTTTGGTAAAATACAAATGCCAGTTCAATCAAGCCATCGCCGTCTTCATCGTACCTTGATTCCCAGCCAACTTAAACTCGCAGCCCGACTACCTAAAACTCATCGCATCCCGATCATAACTCATAACTCGGGCATACTCCAAAAGCAAGCTGCCACACAACACATCACAAACCATCTCCGTCAGCCCCTTAACACACGTCAAAAAGATGGTAACCCTTACCGGAACATATAAGCCGTCATGTCTTCCTTCCTCCAAAACCTCTTGCTCCACGTCCGCCCAGCGTTCGCAATCCTCTGTGCATGCTCTTCGTGTGCGCCTTCCCCATACAGACCGCCGCGGAAGAATACTAGGCAGTCGTACAGGTCGGATAGATCGACTTGGACAGGTATATAGTGTACCCAAGGTTCAATGCGGTCTATGAACCTGTTCACGTCGTCCTTTCTCGTTCATATCATCACATCATGATAGCCTGAATTAGACCCACCATTCAGGGTATATCGTCGACTTGAAGACCAACGAATTGGATGTGAGCAAACGCTTGAAACGACCAGACCAGCCGTTACCATCAACCTATACAATAACATCATCAATCATCATCAACGACGACCATCTCCTGCAGATGTGATGCAAGAAAACCATACTCACGTCAAGTACATACTTGTACTTTCCCGAATCCTTAATCGTCTGCCGCTTTCGCCACTCAAACTCCCCATCTAGCACAGAACAAAACTCAGGCGCACACCCTACCCTCTTCCCCGCAAACTCGATATCCAACAGCGCAGGATTGATGTGCGACTTGCTAATCTCCTGTCCCCGACCGACTTTCTCCTTCTCTGCACTACGACTGGTAAGAAGAAGAAGGGAAGCCGAACCCGACGAATCATGTGCCCAACTCACAAGACGCGCACGATGTGCATCCCGCCAGCGCGTCCCGGGAGCATGATAAATACCCGTATTCGTGCCGCGCCACACAAGTCTATCCTCCACTTTCTCGTACCACGGCGGATCATTACTGCGCGGGAGGATATCGTCGACCCAATTATACAGCGTTGCAGGTCGGATGTCGTGGTGGAGTAGCGTGGAGCACTGGGAGAATCGCGGGACGAGCGCTTTTTGTGGATAGGGACCTTGGTTGTGGGAGAGGAATTGGCCGTGGTGGGATAGGAGGGTTGGGTGGAGGCAGGGGTCCATGGAGAGGTAATGGTCGAAGATGAATGTCTTCTTCTTCTTTGAGGGCGGTGAGGGCGGAGCGTCGAGGTCTATGGGTTGTTGACGCGCAGGAGATGACGGTGAACACGCCTGTATCCATCCCCGAGTTTTTATAGGTGGCAGATCGCTGACGTTGATAACTGGAACCCATGATATTAATCAGCAATGTCCTATATAGCAACAAGCAGCGAGGACAACACTCCACCCACAAGTACGTGCAGCAGCAGCCTCAAGAGCCATAGCCTTGACCGTGTACTCCGAAAGCATGCTCGGATTATCGTACGGGGAGAACACAGCCCGAAACGGGGGTATATCGTACTGTACCCCCTCAACCACCTCCAACACATTGCTCACCATCTCTGTAAGCAGTTTCTGCCGATTTTCTGGTAGAGTGGTATTGAAGACGGTGATAGGGTCGGTGGGGTGGTGTTTTCCAATGGTGATAACCCCCTCATCGACCTCCAGCTGCGTCAGAATAGCACTCAGGTCGAGAGGGTCGAGTCCCCAGAAGGGTTCCAGGTCGTGGTATATCTGGTCGTACTCGTCTGGCAACTGGACATTGTTCTCGACGACGTAACGCCACCTACAAGGTTATCAGATCACCTCGAAGGAGCATACAGAAGAGAAAGAGAGATATCAAGAATAAAAGATGGACGACATACCAAACATCGAACCCCATGGGCGGAGCACGATGATAGCGTCTTTTGTATTCTGCGACAGCTTCGTCTAGGGTCTTGCTGGCGCGATCGAGCTTTGAACGCCAGGAAGCCTCAGCACGCTTCATCAGCTCGAAAATGGGGTGGGGGCCTTCTGCGTTGACGATAAGCAAGCCATCTGCACCGTACTGATGAGGTTGCAGCTCCTCCGACTCTGACTCTGACGATATTAGGGAATTTGATTTGATAGGCGCTTGGGCAAGTGCGGGAGATAGATAGGGAGGCAATCCACCCGAATCGAGCCGAGGGCATGTATTCGCACACCGTGGAAGTGGGTGTGGATGCCACGGATCCCAGGGCCTTTCCAGTGCGACCCGCGACCGGTCAAATCCACACGGCAAGACCTCCGAATATCTCAGGTCCACCACGAAAGACAAAACGACGATGCATGCAGCGACGACGGCGACGACGAGCTTGCGGACTGAGGAAGACCGTATCATCCGACGAGAGGAGCACCAGAACCAGAACCGGGGCATATGGATGCTAGTGGGAAGTCACGGTGGGGGTCTACGAAGAAATAGACTCGATGGTGATGGCAAATTTGCATTGGAGATGTGACAGATAAATAGCATGGTAGATAGCGATAGCCGCTGGTGGGTCTGTCAGCTGGTGCTGGACCATGACAGATACTTGCACCTTGACGCTTGACACTCGGTGCTGTACCTCGCAGTTTCGATGCCTCTCTTAGGAGGATATGGGTGGTAGTGCATTTTAAATTTCAGGGATGGCAAATGCTGTACTTCAGATGAGGGGTTTACCTCGGCGCTAAAAGACGTATGAGTAATTTTGGCAGGGTATTGATAAGACGCGTACAGATTCCCTGCTTCGCGCGACTCTGCCATGGTGAGCTTGTTGGTTACAGACGATGATGGTGCATATGCAAGCTCGCCAGTATCTCTGACTTAGAAACGGTCGGAGACTGATTCCTTTCATAAAATTCATTACAAGAATCGGAAGCAACTTTGTCAATATTGCCAAACGTAATGGCAGGTACTCACTGGACGCTGGAATGAACTCTTTAATCTGGCTCAGTTCAAGGTCTTTATTCCAGTAAAGAGTCGCGGATTGCCGACGCGTGCGGACCCCAAGTTCGTAGAGGACGAGGCTGCTCCTACAGTGCGCAGTGCGGTTCTGTTCGATTATCGATGTAACCTGGACATATCATCTTTTTAACTGTCTACGATATCGGCCGCAGGATTTTGATCAGGCAAGTCACATCAGCAGATTATGTATGATACAACAACGAAATATATTCATCGATTTTCACAGTTTGATCACATCTGTTTCAATCAATTTGCTCAAAAGAGAACAGGTCGCTGGGGACGCTCCTATTCCCCCTTTGGTGGCTTGTAGACAACTAGTTGCGACGCAATATTATGACAGGATAGCGCCGTACACAAATTCCAACCTTCCCTGATCAGAGACAAGCAGTGCCTCAAGCTCGAATTTGGGCACCCCAGATAGCACATCCACATCCCCTTGCGACAACGGTCGTCCCGCTCCGTTATGTGACCGCCCTTATCCTCAATTCGACGAACGGCCATGTGCAGGAGAATACAGGAATTTCATGCAGACGTGACAGGTATGGTTCTATCTGTTAAGCGAGTGATGTTTCTTCGGCCCTATCTTTACTACTTATTCGTCTCTTGACCTTCCTATTCTACTAGTGGCTCCAGAGAAGAGTGCTGCGAAAGGCGGTGCCACTACACTACGAGCATGTAACCCACTATCCTCGCATGCGATACTGCATATCCCCGTATATCGCGCTCACAGGCACCTTTGGAGGACCCTCGAAGATATCGCTTGAATATATGATCGAGTGATGCCTGCTCCTTTTGTCGTCGTTCTTTGTTACGCCTTGAACTTCGAGCTTCGACGAGCTTCGACGTTATTGCGCCCATAGTAAACCCTGAAAGAACACCCTCAGCGACTCAGCTTCGGATTAGTATTGAGAATCATTAATATGATTAGCCAGCTTTCGTAGTTGATCAGGAGCGCCTATCTTCTGACTCATTAACTTATAGAAGACTAGCGCTTTCGTGCTTGGGATGGTCCCCGGCCGTTGAAAACGTACCCTACACCTTCGCTGGCTGATACAGCATACACTATACGGCTGTACGTCGGGCGCAAAGCTGCGAGACGATGAGCCTCCATGCATTCATAGTCGTCGAAACTAGAAAGATGGACTCGAAACAACATCGCTCTGAATGACATACAAAGATAATGATAATTCCAGTGTAGAATACAATAATACAAAGTTCATCAAATCATACATACATTCTCAACAAACTCACGAAGGATACCTCCCCTCAGGCCATCGTCTGAACCACCCTCCCATAAACGGTGGTGACAACAACCCCCAACGCAAACGCTGCAGCCAGCTTCACAGGAAGCGCATCGAAACCAAGCTCCCGTTTCTTATTACTTCTTCCCAACTTTGGTACGGGTGTCTTGTTTTCCTTAGCATTTCGGTCGAAAAACGTCGTTGGTGTTCGTTGTGCAACATGTGCATGACGCAGCCCTGGTAGGCCATCTAAGCTTCTCAAGTTCTCCACTGTCCACCAAGCTTTGATGCCCTTTTTGTTGAGCTCGGATTTGCTCTCTGCATCGTTTTCTCTGTCAAAGATTTCCATGGAGTCGTTCCACCGATATAGCTGAACACGATGTGATTGGAAGTTGTACAACGGGATGCCGTAACCACATGACTGTCGAAGAAGGAAAAACGTGATATGAATTTTCGTAAGGGCAACTGGGACAACTTACTGTTCCAACTTTATATATGTCAATGACGATGACAGCGCGGTTACCAGGCTTTCGACCCTCGAGTGGAACGTACTCATCGAACTCCGGGGTACCAAATTCGTGGAAAGTTCCTGCGGATGTTCAGAATGATATATAATATTAAAAGATCGTCGGTAACGTACCTGTGCCAAACAGTCTCACCAGTCTCGGTGGACCCTCAAAGGCATGGAAGAGTATCGTAATTCTTCCGTTTCCTGGTTCGCGCAGGTGGGAGATAGTCTCGATACCTGCACTCAGAGTTGAGGAGGATGAACGCAGACACATGAAGTATGGAGCTACGCACCACTCCCGGTGAGATCTTCATAGTACACTTTGCGTGGGTTGATGATATGAAAACAATTTGGTGTAGCCTTTGGTGAGACGTTTACATGGCCGCTCCCGGTGAGGGGAGCTGATGCAACCCAGAACATCTGCTGTTTCTTAATCCATTCGATTGTGTTCTCGGGGATTTCGTCGTAGAAGTTACCCATGGTGGTCAGAACTTGAAGGACTCGTCGACCGTGACAAAGAAGACAGACGACGCCTTATATCACTGAGCTTTAGCGGATAGGGTGGAGATTGAAGCAATGTGCGACATACTTTATCTATCAACCGTGACTTTAACGATAAGTCGGTAATTGCCTCGCGAATTCGCTAACCAGACAGGAGTTCCGAGTCGGGGGCTTTTCGCAGTGTGGGGGAGAAAGGCGGGGGCTGCTATCTATTGTTGTAAGTAATATACCAGATGGCCCCTACTTTATATGTGTATGCTCTCGATACCTGGATTACAGTATCAGGACCTTTCAGTGCACACGGTCCGGGGGAGAAGTGTGATCGCTCTTCCACTCATGTCGGGCTTTTGCGCCTCTCCAAGTCTCGTTGAAACAACCGGCAACTGCTTTTTCATATCAGAACATCATGACAACGAGAATGCTCGATACTCGACACCCCAAACCCGCTCAGGCTGCCAATTTACCGTTTCAAATATACGCAAACCGCTATAACTGCAACGCTAGCTTTAAGCATCCTGCCAAGGCTGAGGGCTCCCCAGAGAATATCATGATATTTGCGTTCCCATCATATGTATATGAGAAAACATAGAAATCACGGGGCCATACAACTGCCAGACAATCGTGAGAGTGTGCTTCATCCTTTGTTCTATTGTTGGTTTCCCTACGGACCCCATAAAGTCCAATCATGGCACGAGGATTGAAAAGCATTGAAGTGCAGTGACTAGCAGTGCACAGGAAACATACTTCACTTCACTGAGAATGGCTGCGCTGAAACGACGCGCAACGTCCACGAAATTTCGGAGTTATATCATGATGTGAGTCTAGCAATTTCATAACTAACTTAACTCCAAGTTTATATTACAACTCGGAATCAGAGTCAATCTAACCCATGGTTTTTCTTGATTCATTCAAATACCTTTCCCCGTCATTGGTAACGGCCGGGCCACAACCAGGACGACATCATCTTCTGCCTAAAATGCAACCTAGTTGCACCATCGAGTCTTCTGGACCTTGACCGACTTAGTTCCTTTAAGTAGGTGCCTGCATCGTACAGTATCCCGATTTAATAAAGAATCTCATGGTACCATTCGTCAGTCCCATCTCCTCATTTCCCCAAACAAGTAGCCCAGAGATATAGTCTTCTGGTCTTCTAGAGAAAATATGAGTGACTATTCTGTGTTACTTAGATCAAGATGTCAAGGTAAGGGTGGTTCACCTCGCCAGTTCGTTTCCCAGAGATGTGACATCTCCTGATTGTGAAATCTCACCTCCACACTTCAAATTGACATTAATGAGAGAGATAACTGACTTCACAGCTCACGTCTTCACCCCTTCACTTTCCCCGCTTTCTCCTTTAGATCGTTAAGGAGATTGTCTTGCTCAGGCTTATTTCCATCTGCCACTTCAGAAGGAATAGTTATCTTTCGTTCATTCGACTTGTCTCAGATCCTCCTGGGATACTGAGGATTAGTGGCAAAGTGGAGCTGCCAACTGCTATGTATATCGCCACTTTAGCATGTCCCAGCTACAATTGTTGCCAAGGTTCTGTATGTCTGATATACAAGCGTACTTGTCAAATTCTTAATCCTGGAAAACTCGAGCAGAAATTCTGCGCGGCCTTTGGCTCGTAATCGTTCAAGCCAGGTCTCCTGGACCCATCCAAAGAATTCAGAATGAAAGTACTAAAGTACGCCCAACTACACTATCACGAAATACAATACACAAAGTTAAATATTTCCAACGATCACAGAAAGGCCTCTACACCCATACACCCCTCAATAATAATATTCCCCAAATCAATCATGCAGCTGAAAACATTCTTAGCATGTCGAACCAAGTATTCTGTCGACCTGCCCGTTCCGGCTCCGCTCGATGGTCCCAGCCATTCTGCGAACTCGATATAATGAATGATCCCGGCATCCGTATATCTTCATCTTCTGCTGTAACGTAGGAATCCGGTGTATCGACGCGTTCCAGGCGGGGTGTGTCATCCAGAATGAAGTTCGGCTGTTTGGGAACGTTTCCCGTTTCTTTTTTTTGAGGAGCTGCCTCGTTATGCAACAGCGACGGTGTCTCATCCTTATCTTCTACTCTGGATTCACCGACACCAGTCAAAGATGCATTATTAGTACCATTGCAATCGTCCTTCTTACCGGACAAAGCAACATCATCCTCAGCTGCAATTACATGGACGTTTTCATTCGAACCTGGATGACCTCTGCCCAGTGTCGCTTTGCTTGCATCCGTTTCGCCGTTAGGCACCGCATGCCCGAGTTCGTCGTCGTCGTCATCATCATCATCTGTAGCAGCAGCTGTGTTGTCGTTCCCCCATCCTCCACTTCCTGAACTCACTGCGCTGGTACGCCTACCGAGACGATGCAACGCTCGTGCAGAATTGATAGCCGTACGCCATCTCTGGCGAGCATTGAAATTGTCTTTCAATCCAACGCTGATGTCGTGCTCTGTCGATGGTTCATGCGTTGTGAGCCACTGCAACGAATGTAAGGTCAGAACTGAGCTTCGAAAGTTTAGCAAGGTTCGAGTCACGTACGTGTTTAGAAAAGGCTTCCTCTGCGGTGGGTCGTTGGTCAGGATCGGGATCAAGCAAGGCTTTTACAAACATTTTCGCTGGTTTCCTCTTTTTTTGAGCATTGTGGCAGAATAGCAGCAACAAAAGATACTTACCTTCTTTAGACACTTTACTCCAGTACCGTTCATGGAACTCGACCTTTGCACCAGTGGTCTCCTTGATGATTTCTTTGGTGTCCTCGGACCGGAACGGCGAGTAACCGCACAATAGGACGTATGTAATGATTCTGATCGAAACCAACATGAAACGATACAATTAAGATAGATCGAAACGATGATAACCAAGTTGTTAACCAATTGGTTTCTTGGCATTTCTGAACGAAAGCTACTCACCCGGTCGACCATATATCCACAGCTTTGCCGTGACCTTTCTTGTTGAGTACTTCTGGCGCGACATAGCCAAAGCTGCCTGCAACAGTGTGCAACCGCTCATCTGCAGAGTGAAGGTGTTTTGCACTATAATGAACATGTCAATACAACGAAAAAATGTTATATAAAGAATAGCACTTACATTCCAAAGTCGGCTATCACGATATCACTATCTGCATCCTTGGTTCTATAGAGAATATTCTCTGGTCTAATAAGGCAAGCAAAGAATATCAGCAAACGACCGCAGTGGGGAGGCTTGGCAGGAGTATTTTGATGGCTGATAACGTACTTGAGGTCTCTATGAACTATGTCATGGTCGTGCAAGTATTTGACACCCGATAATATTGATCTTGAAAATAGTAGTAGTGAGTACTTTTCACCAACTCAGGATTGCAAATCCTTCCAAGATCACTACACTGGTCTGGAGGAACTACATACGCACCGAACAACGACCACAGCATCCCGCTCTGTGAATTTCCCTCTTTGCAGGATTCGCTCAAAAAGCTCGCCACCAACTGCTAGTTCGAAAGCAAGATAGTACTTGGTGCGTGATTCGAACCACTCATAGAATTTGACCTTTTTTGGAAGCGAGCAACAAATCAGTGGTCTGTGCAAGCGAAGAGCATAAATGCCGCACTATGTTGGGATGGCTAAGACCTTTCAACACTTCCATTTCACCCCAGACAGTCGACTCGTTCCCTTTTACTTTTTTCTTTGCAATCACTTTCAGAGCTACATCCTTCAACACTCCCGAAGTTCCGGAATTCACCGACGATGCAGATTGTGAAGGAGATCGGAGGATAGGTATTGAATGTTTTCGAAACAAGGGCACTGATGTTGAAGAGTTGCTATGAGAATCCGGTGGACCAGCTGAAGCACCTTGCTCCGCTACAGAAAGTTGTTCTACCGGAACGTGCCAAGTTGCTCGCTGATAGACGCGAAAACAAATCACGGAGGATCAACGAAAATTCCATCACGTATCGACATCAAGAGATAGATAACAAGACAAACTGATGAAATCACCATCGTCTCAACTACGCCCCTGTCTATCGTATGCCGAGACACGAATCAAACAATGAACGCCAGGTACTCACCATGACTTTTCCAAACGTCCCCGTGCCCAACACCTCATGGATCTCATAAGCCTTTTTCTTCCCAAAGCTAGAGGGCTGCGGAAGAAGTGCATCCTTTAGGGTAAGGTGCATGATTGAGGAGTTGTAATATGACTCGAAAGTGAATCCAATTCCAGAGAATCTTTATGTATGAGTCGTGTTTGCTCGTGCAGGCTGAAGAGGTTTGAACTTGGAAGTGGTATCGCTGTTATTCGACCGAGCGCCAGAAAGGAGGTCAGCGGCTACAGTAGCGGGAGAACTAAAGCCGAACTCGGCGACAGGCTTCGTGAGGTGCGATAGCGCGAGGACGGATTGGTGGGCGATATTCAACGCTGACTCTGGTATTCAAGGCTGAGCTGGCAAAATATGAGCGTGTAGAGCGGTGGAGTGCGACAATCCTGTATATTGTGTTCTATCAAAAGATCTGAAAGGGATCATATGCTTCGGTTACAGACGCATAGCCATTCTATATCAAGACGTGGCGGCTCAGATGAAGCTCGCTATAGAATGTTCCTTGAAAAACAATTCCATGTTTCTATGTAGAAGGAAGTCAGCAGTGATACGGCAAATCGAGCTCGGCACGGTCTATGCCCATGTTTAGCGTGTTAAGCGCTGATTTGCTATCAGTGACTGAAGTAGAGACGCCAGTCTCTTAAAAAAGCAACTGCAACACACCATACCACATTGAGACACAAGAAATACCAAAATATCGATATAATGAACATACTATCATACAACAAATCCTGAGCACCCATGGTCCATATAAGCAGACATCCAAGATAGACAGTATAATACACCGAGTCAAATGGAAAAATATCCCCCAAGTCCCTCATATTTAATTTCTTGGTTCGTCTCCTTTTCTTTCTCATGCCAGCTGTCCCAATAGACTAAAAAGAATGGCAATACCTCCGCCAACCTGGAAACTGGGCTCCAACTCAATAGCTCCACCAGACCTGCTCCCCGATGCACTTCCACCAGTAGGACCTAAGGGCCCTGTCTGGGTAGTGGAAACCGCAGCAATAGACGTGGCTGATGCATACCTGAATCCTGCACTTCAGAAATGAAAACAGCAAGAATGAGTCGTGTGGACTTACGCAGAACTTGCCGCCGAGGGGTTACTCTGCACGTCTGCCAGGACGCCGTCAAGTACGTGAACTACACCATTCTCAGCCAATATATCTGATCTGACGATCCGGGCGGTTGAAGAACCACCAGAGGAGACGTAAGTGCCAGATGAGTTAGTTGTGAACATGAGCGGCTCGCCCCCAGCTGACGTGTAGTTCGTAGATGACGAGATCAGCGGAGAGTAGACCGATGTACCGTTAATCACCTGTAGGTAAACACATTGTTAGTGCACGAACGCAGCACCAAAGATAACCTTAACATACATGGTTAGATAAAAGCGCGCTCAGGGCAGTAATGTTGGATGTCAGATTAGTTAATGTACTCTGAGCTGCTGAAAGAGCAGCATTGTTGGGCGCGAAGACTGTGATACCCCTGGCACTACTAAGAGCTTGTAATAGAGTAGTTGTATTGCCGGGTAGAGTCGCTTGTGATAGGATGGGAGATAGGCTGGTCAAATTGTACGCTCCGTTTGTGAGTATAGACGTGATATTTGGGGGTGGGATGAGAACTGCCTCAATGACAAGAATCTCGAGGTTTTCATATTGAGTCGTGTTGGTCACCGACACGTTCATACTGAAGAAATATTTTTTAAAGGGGAAATGACAGGATAGGGGGTGCATAAAAGGCTCACTTTTGATTCAGAACCGCAGTCGTGCCATTGCCTAACTTCGTCCAAGAAAGGACTTGTGACTTGTTCCCTTCCAACATGACAAGTGAAGAATCGTTGAGTAAGGTCCGACCAATGGTAACATTGGGGTAAGAGGCAGTCTCATTAGTAAAGTTTCCAGAGACAATATGATAAGATATTGTGTCTGTCAGGAATGTGGTATTCCCGGTATCCGTTGACGATAAAGCTCCGACTAGAAAAAGCGCTCGATAGTAAGAATTTGTTTTCGTATAGTAACGATTATAACGTACAGGCAGCATTATTAGGCGCGAACAACGTCCAATTACCCTGTGGGAGAGTTGACAAAATCCGCTGTCCAGAGGGAGTATTATTCAAAGACGGCGCAACGGAAGCCAATTGAGTGAGTCCAGATGCATTGAGAGTTTGCAGAAGGCCCGTAAGATACGTCAGGTTTTGCCCAATGACAGCTGGCACGGAAGCTAGAATGATAAAAGAGAGCAGAAACAACATTTTTTCTTTGATAGAATATGCAGGCCAGAAAAACAAATGGAATCCACTCTTATATGTCAAGAAATTAGCATTGGTGCTGGGGATATACGTACCTCTGACTTTAAGTGACGCAATGCGCAGTTGAGCTAGCACTTATGTCCTTGCCCCTATCATAGTCAGCTGAGTCTCAAGACTCACAGACTCTGTACCCATTCAAAGTAAAAGAGTGTTCTAGGTTATCCGCAGCATATTCAATTTGAGGACTTCGGATCCCTCTTCTGGTATAATACCGATCCGTTGCATTCTTGAGTAGCCCCTTGGTGCGAGCAGGTGATGACGACGATCGTGATTTGGCCCCGTCTTGCATCAGAAAATCGACAAGGACAAGGGGTTTATAGTCTAAGAACAAAAATTGCCAGTGAAGAAGAATTGTCATTGCTTTGAGTGTGTCCCTAGTAGCTGAAGCAGTGAAGCATCAAGTAGAATTGTCTCAAAGGTGTCCCTCTAAGCTTTGTCTTCACTTTTCAGAGATCGATGAAAGGAATCAAATCATGAGGTGATATATTCGGACACCGCGAATGTTTCCCGGGTTCTCCCGAAGTGCACTCAATTTTCGCTCTGCCTCACGTCAGTTCATCACTGCATTACCGCAACCTTCTCAAATTCATACAATGGCTCGCCGTGCAGCACCACCCAACGCATCTCCTGCATTCTTGTCTGCACCTACCACACGCCGTGCAATTCATGATCCAAACGAGTCGTCGTTTTCTCGTTTCATGCGAGAACAAATATGGGCACCAGAAAAGCTACCTGGTAATATCAGCATCATTACTGGAGTGAGCGTATTTGCTGGTGGTGTTTTTGTGGCGAGGACATTTGGCGAGCTTTTTATCCCTGCATGAGCAGGCGAACATCTACCGCTGAAGGGGAAGGGGACGCAGATGTTGCAGAGCTAGCAAGACAGAGCGGTATGCCTTATTCTGGTCGTTTGTTGATATCATCTCATCCTTTTTTGCTGAAGTCACTAGGCCATAAAATCCCTGCATTATTGATCCGGGCTTAGTACATCGAGTGGTTAATTTACATCTCGACCAATCGGTCTTGGGGAGGAATATTCTCATATTATACGACACCTTCATACTATTACGCCGGCCACTAGAATGTCAAGTTGTTTCATCTGTTATCAGCCAGTTATTTCTCAGTGCGAGCCGTAAATATAGACATCGTCGCCACTTATCATGATCCCTTGCATGAAGTTAGCCGTGGCGGCGAAGTTGCTGACATCCACCTTCGATAGTATTCCCACAGCGCTCACTTGAGAAGGGAGTAAAACTATGCAAGAATAGTCCACCAACTACTAGTTTACTCAGAGTTGGCTAGCACTTTGCTGACTTTAGAAGTTCTCAAGAGTCTCACCCTGGATAAATAAGTCTACCAGCTGTGGCGCACCACGACTGATAGTGGCAACGTTGAAGTTTCCCAATCACACGACTCTTTCTCTCTCAAGTATGACACATGTCTCATCTCTGCTATCTCCACTAAAGATCTGGCTGCTCACTTCAACCCGTGTGCGTGTAAAGACAGTAAGAGCGTAGTACGCGCATCAAATGATCGGTGGTTGTGTTACGTTACGTCACGGTAGGCTCCTCCAAGTAAAAGGTTCGGTTCCAGCTATCGTACTTGCTGTGCGATCTGATGCGCTAATCTTATGAATGTACAAGTGCTATTGCCTGTAAGGTATCGAATCCATTGAGCCTTGACGCTTTTGAGCTGAAACCATCGTACTTGGACCTACAAAAAGGTGTTATTTCCTGTTTTGGATGTTTATATCAGCAAAAGGAACGAATGAAACCCAAGTGGATCGACTCGGAACCAAGCCCACAAGCAGCCTTCTCAGCGCGAAAAAAATCTCATGGAAAAAACGTCCATATAACTAATCTAGTCGGGTTGCTGCAAAGAAAAGGAATCAAGGTTACTTCGACGTAAGAGCGCTGCATCTAGGTATGAAATTTTGTCCTCTAACGAACGTTGACACCTTCTTTCAGAATATCCCACTCACACGCCGATTAAAACAGAAATCCATTGGCATGCACACCACAATGGGTCTAATTACTGGAGCTACCCCAAGTAAGTACGACACTATTCTCCTGAATCCTTGCTTTCCTAATGGGTTTGAGCATACTTTATAGGTTATCTCGTGGAACTCTCAAAGGGTCACGAAAACCGCCGCTAGGCATGTGGCAGACGTGCGTTCTGACACTGGGAACCGATGTGAGTCCTTTTCATAACGCCGTACTTACTTCATCGTCTCGTGATAGCCCACAATCACTTATCGGCGTCATTTGATACGCAATAGACAGCCGCTTGAAAACGAAGAAATGCACCAGTGAGTCTCACGGTATGATAGTTCAAACTCAGGACCCAGGAGCTGGTCCCATTCTGTTCTCCGATGAAAACTCTCCCCGCGCGCAGTAGCATGCTACTGTGAAGCAGCTCTATGATAGTCATCGTGCACGTCCAGCGCTCGCCCATATTTGTCTTCATCAGTTTTTTAAACCAGACCTTACCTCCAACGACTGACCGTCTCTCAAGTTACAACGTGTCTGTATATTCAGTCAACGTTTAACAGTGGAATCTCTAAGCAGATATCTTTCTCCTGTCCTCGCAATTACATGCCACAAACCATATAATGCTCGTCGCATCTGCGACGCCTTATATTGCTACCCAGAGTCTACCTACCGTCTTCGAATCTGTCTGCTACGTGTCCAGACCGCAATAAACTTCATATACCTGCTTCCCAAAATTTCCCTTCGTCAGGACGATCAAGGTCGAGAGAATGTCTGGCCTGCCTTTCAAAGGCTATGTAACGTTCAGGCTGTATCCCCCACGCCCGCCGATGTCCTTGAACAGTCTTTGGTCCCTACATTGTCAGTCTGAAGTGCGTTGAAACTCGAGCGGTACATCTTCAAGCGCACTTGGCACATGTATTATACGACCCATGCTAGATACATAGCTGATCTTATATGCGTCAAGAATGCATACCTATCCATACCCGCCGCCCACAATTCTTTCTTGACAATATAATTGATACGCAATGGGTCCAATCCGGAGAAAGTGCTCGTAGCCACCGCAAAAAAAAATCCTATTTAATAAGCTTACTCATCGCGGTGGAGGAGAATACGCTGAAGGTTCGCCGTTAGAGCTAATTAGATTACCTCCCGCGAACCGACATTATTATGTATTCAGAGTGGGCCTTGCGACTCTCGACGCCGTTCCATTTCGCATCAACGCTGATGATCGATGATCCACGCAGTTGGCTCAAGCACCGTACTACATCTGAGCGTTTGTTTTCATCCTGCGGGTCTAACCCGAGTTATTCTATGAGTATTATGAAGTAGGACCCATGTCGTAGGCAACGAGATTGTCTTAATTATACATGATGGTGGGTAACACAGTTGGAAATACGAGAGCAATTGCAATGAACAGCGAGAAAGACGGTAGCTAAAGACAACGGAGCGATTGATGTGATAGAAATGTATGCACAAGTAAAATACGTATATCCTAACGATGGAAAAGGGTCTATGACGAGAAGGTCAACCGGTCGTTTCAAGCTATTGGTTGTCCATTTTGTCCCCGCTCCAGTATCCGATATGGGAAGAGAGATCAGCCCCCGAGCCAGCTGGGGGGGAAGGATGCAAAGGGTGTGATTGTCGATAGGTAGCCTGAGATATCGTCTGAACAGTGGGAAGAGACATTTGTGATGGTGCTGTTGGGTTGCGAATCTGCTGGTGGTGATAAGACTGCATGTCGTGACTGTTACTTTGAGAGTAGGAGGGGTTGATAGGCGGGAGCGGGGAGAAGCTACGATTTTCGTACCCGTGGCCCGAGCTTTGCCTGGTCCCCAACGAGTTGCTTTGCATTTGAGAGGAAGTCGTGTAGGGCTGGGCAGAGTTTGAAGGGGACGAAGATGACGGGTTGTAATTTCCCTGTAGATGGCCTTGGTTGGGATAAAAGGGGGAATTGAGGGTGGGAAATGCGTAGTTGGGGGTATGCGGTCCTGAAACACTAGACGTGCCTACAGGCGCAGGAGAGACATTGCCATTCCAAGGGTGAGGGGATACACTGGGATATAAGTGACTTTTATCGTCCATTGGTACGGCAGACCTATCGTGACTGCCACTAACCCAAGAAGGCGGGCGACCCTGATCACCCCTCGTGGTGGCACTAGCGTCCCAAAAACCATGAGCGCTGTTCGTCTCTGAGGAATACAATGATGGGTGGTGATGGCTCTGGACATTGTGCAAGTACGAGGGAAATTGTGATGCATGATTGACACTATCTAACAGACGAGCAGATGCAGCAGGCGGCACAACAGCCATATCAGGAGTAGCACGACCATGAGGGGGAGAAATATATGACAGCCTGGTGCCGCTTGCTCCCATTTGACGGTAAGAATTGTCAGGGGGGTGATAGCTTGACGACCGTGAGTGTGAAGATGCTACGCCCCTCTGAATATCGTATTCGGTACCATGATGTATATCAGATTCCAGGCTGGGGTACCGAAGGTTCTGTGGAACGCCCTCCATGACCTGATCTTCTGAGTCGATGGGTGAAGTATCGCCATAATCGGCCTGCGGTAATTCATCAGCCAATTGGTCGACAGCAACAGGGTGTTCCAGAGGTTTGCTGGTACCAGGGTCTGTTCGTCGCTTTTTTCGAGTATTGTTGGGCCGCCGCCTATAGACATAGTCAGGATATTTGTTATTGAAATTCTCCTTCAGCAGTTTTGCTTGGTCCAGGTAGAATTGCTTTTCAGACTGACGAAGAAAAAGTAAGAATCATGCTCAAAGAGCTAAGGTAGCACCTTACCATGTCCATTGCAACCCACTCGCGGCTCAGTATTTTACTAATTTCGCCTGTGCGCATTGATTGGTTTTCTGCAGAAACTTGAGGCCTCCTCCTCCTAGCAAAAATCATAAATGCGTTCATGGGCCGCTTGGGTGTGCCATCAGTGTTCAGAGTTTGAATGGTCAATGAGGCATTCGGATCCTCTGATAACACACGAGTCAGATAGGAAAGGGATCCTTTTTGTAAATCTTACCTTCCATCTCTAGCTCAATTCTATGCGAGTCGGGATACGCATACCCAGCACCATCCTCTGATTCAGACTGTGACCCTTGCTCGTCGTGCCTCCCATCCCTCAAGCTGGAATTGAAAGAACCGGGATGTTCCGCCAGTAAAGCATGCGCTGGGTACTCTGGGTGATTGTAAGGATTCATAGGAACGATCATACACGATGAGAAGAGGGAAAAGAGGTGGAGAGGTGGAACACAAAAGTTAAAGGGTTGGACAGAGAATGCTGTAACCCTGAGGAAGAACGTGTAAACGGGGCCAACGAAGCTTTTGAAGAGTGGATATGTGATCGGCGCGTGTGTCTCAGACGCGGTTAGGAAGCTGACTGGGGACGGTGTTATGAATGGCACTGCTTTGAGTACAAGTCGGAAGGCTGACCAGACGGTTTGTACTGTTCGCTACCGCCAATTTTTTGTTCTAGAGTGGGGTTGACGTACTTGAACGCAGGATACAAGGCATGGCAAAAATGAAGCAGAGCCTACATTTGGAATGAGATTTTGATCGTCACGGCTCGAGTGAATCTTGCCAGGTCCCTAGTTCGCGGAGCTTTGGCCCATCTGACGCAGGATAGATCACGCCTATGAAATCGAACAATTCACAGGCACAATCCGCCAGTCAAATGGATTCTCCGTCCTCGAAGAGTCTCCCAGTAATTATTGGCCGAGAATTTACGATTATTCCAGGGCCAAAGCTTACCTTTTTCACGCGTCCAGAACGTTGGTTACCTCTTTCTAGCTAGATCCTACGGAAAAACAGCCTTTTTTTTCCAGGCGCTCAAAAACCCTCAAAACCTGTCGCATGATACCCATGATATCCAAGGAAGGCTATACTCACAATGCCATCTTCCAATGTGGCTGAACCCGTTACGAGGCGGGCTATACATACTCGCACGTCCCAGATCCAGATCGCTCGTTCCTATATAGCTAAGGGAAAAAGCAACCCTGTATTTGTCCTCAGCGATATCCAAACAGCAACGTAGGTCGTAACCGAGCACCAGCAACCTTACTTTGAGCTCCAAGTACCCACCAAAATTAATTCTAACGGTCCATCGTCTGGATGCCAACATAAGTTTAGCGCCAGTTCCGCTCCCGCGCGGCGGAGATTTGTCTGAGCAGAAAAAATTTGCGCTGCGCGACTAAGAGCCGTTTATTGGGTCATTGGGATGGCCTTCCAGCCTAGCCTATCACGAAGGAGTCTAGACAATGTAGTCAGTATTACTTGACCAGCCGAATACATTATCATTTGACCTCGGTGGATCCGCCTCGATTCGGTACCGTCGATATAAGATGCTACCGTAGGATGGAGGCTCGAAAGCAGCACCGGGCAAATGAAGGCATGACCTGCCTCATTTTGGTCCAAATTACTTTTCCAGCTTCTTGGCCCGGCTAGTCCCGAGCTCATCCTTCTTTGGCCTCGTCCCTTCTTTTGATGCCTGAACCCTAAGTTAAGCCATGTTGACCTCGCACACTGCGGTGCAAAGGCAAAAATTATTCACAACCTCAGGGAGCACCCCAATTAACGTCTCAAGTCACCCATCCCTTGAAGTTTATTTGGAGGCGTTATCATGTGTTGTCAATGCTGCCGCTTCCCATAGCCACAGCTTGGACAGATACCAAAACGGGATAAGTTAATCGATGATTCTCAGTTGACGCTGTCTTCGTAAAACTCGATCATAGCCAGGTTTGATCTTGGCGGAGGCGCTGCGAGTTGCACTACGGCCTCGAGTGGGCCTCAAGGCTTCATTAAACTTCATTACCGTTAGCATAGTCTATCATAATACGTCTTCAACAGCTCTTGATACGCAGCTCCCGTCCACACCGTATGTTACATTCGACAAGGTAGTGAGAACCTATATTACTCTTTGATAAACCACGGGGTTCCATAGGGACAGAGATTTACAGGTAATAGAAGACAGGGCAAATTTCCAATACTCAAACCCTCTCATGCGGTACCTCTGATATCTTGGAAGCCCTGACTCCGATCATACGTGAGAGGGACAACGTGACTTCCACAACAACCTGACATGAGAATTTGGCGGTGGCTGTAATATCGAATATTCCTTTACAGGATGCACCTTTGTTCTGCCTCTGGTGAGTTTACAACATTACTTACTGCATCGTAGATAACGAGGGATGGGCGGCCTCCACGAAGTCACCATGGGAGATGGAATTATTACCAGAGGTAGCACAAACCGCAGCAGACCGCGCACTCACACGCCGTCCAAGTGTGCTTAGATGGTATGGGTTGAAAAACTAGTCACAATCCGGATCTGCGAACGACTCTCGAGCCCACGCGCCTGTCAATCAGCGATTATTATTTGACGTCCGCGAGCTCGTGATCGTGGACTCACTCCTACACTCCAACCGAAGACGCCGCAGCGCCTTTGCCGGTCATGATGACATGCTGCTACGCGTAGATAGATCCTTGTGATAAATCTTCAGCGAACTGGCAAAACATGCTCCGGTTGTAGACGTAATCGCAGGTGAGAAGCAGCTCGGGTCACCAGACTATCAGAAAGCAGGGACCAGCAAGAACTTTTCGCGTAGCGATAGAGGCCCTTGGGCAGCGTGGAAGAACAACCGTTACCCTTGCCCTAAGATGCTATCCATGCCCGAAGCCACAACGGGTACAAATTTTCCAAAGAAAGATTAATGTTTTCTCCCTTGAAAAGCCTAGAATTTATGCACTTTTGGGTCGGTCCGAACTCGTGGAAATCGTCTCGTTGCAGTCAAGGCCTAATATCGACCCCAGTCCATCAGATAGAAATCACTGAGCCTTACCAAGAAATACTTGTTATCGGATGCGCCTGTGTTAGCGCTGAGAGGGGAATGTACCATAACTAGGATGACAGACCACGAGGGTAAGAATATAGTAATAAGCGCTTATATAATTCTGAAAATGCAAGAAGGAATGAGGATTCGCCTCACCTACGATCGATAAGCATTGAATACCGGGACGCGCATCAGTAGTGAAAATGGCCGTGCTGGACTGCAGGCCAGCTATCTGAATTGGAACTTCAAGCTGCTGTTGCAAGAATTTGTCGACTGAGCAACGTGGATCGTCTTCTTTAGGAGAACTCGGTCCGCAAGAGTGGGCAAACGAAATTTGATTGATCATGCTGGTAAGGTTCACAGATCCGTCAGTGGGGAAACTATTGATTATTTGCCACAGAAATAAAGTTACAAGATCTCTGTGTGAAATTTCACGGTACCTGGTGATCACACGCCTCATCCTGCTTTGGCTGCGTTGACATGCAGGCAAGTGGACTATAAAGTTGCTAGTCCTCAAATGAACAGTGTCGACAAAGTGCTCTGGGGCGGCTATCACACGTCAACGAAGCCTCCACTGTGGGGGGTGCTAGTGCAACGAGGTTGCAATCTCGCACGATAGATGCCCACTGGTCATTTGTCACTTGTCTTAAAATAGGACCGTATGATTTTGCTTGTCATACCGCCGTGGATGTGGATGGGAAAGCGGGGAATACTTTGCTAAGAAGGTCGTGACCGGATTAATGCGTACCCGGCAGGAGGTTTATGCGAATCTTGGAGAGGAGTTTCAGGGCGCCTGGATGATGTGTCCTATCAGCATGGAAGGAGGAACGAGTGATCACGTATATGCTATAAATGAGTGCGCAACGGAATGATGCGGGAGTAAACCACCTGATTAGACTGCTAGTAACTACTTACCTTATGTGATCGCATAAATTCCTTTTTTTTAGATTTTTTAAATTTTTTTTGGGTTTGCCATATGCCGCAACGAACGAGCACTACTAGATAATGAAAGTACCGTTGAGAGTGAAGACTCAACGTTCTGGATCGTCTTGTGCCATTGATAGATGAGAGACACGATTGGATGCGCGACCGCAAGAGTTCTGTGCATTCAAGGACCGTCTTGATCGGAGTAAAAATATCAAGGACATGCAACTCACTACACCGGGTTTGAGAAATCAAAGTCCCTGGGAAATGGACAGTGAAGTGCCCGTAAAACCAATTACCGCTGCACGTCAAGACTGACATCATGTGTAAACTGAGGCTGCGAGGCACATGGGGTAAGGCCAGATAAACCATATCAGTGACTCATAATAGTAGCATTTTGCGAAGTGTCTTCCATTACCTACGTCAACCTTATATTCGCAGGCGCATATATCACCCTGCGAGGTTACACGCCATTCTCACAAAAGAGCGTACCGAGTACACAATTCGGGATGACGGAAACGATGCGGGCTTATGAATAGCACATGTGAAGGTATCGAACCAGACAGAGCAAACACGGATGGTCGTAAAGCCTTCTAAAGAACATGCGTAGTTGAGCTGCGAAGAGATGCTGATGCGACTTACAGTATTCTTTGGTCGGGTCATCATATCACAGGCAACGGCGATTGGTGTGGAGGTTACTGCGGCGCTCCCTGGGACGTTTGCGAGCGCAGTGTTGGTGACGGCGAACGAAGATGCGAACAACAGCATTTTGGCTGTCAACAGATCGCTTAGTAAGCATGGTGTGCACGGAATGACTTGATGTATCGATACGTATACTGAGCCCAACGGTAAAACTGGCAAGCTTTTCTTCTATAACGATGAAGGATTTACTAACAGATGCCAGTATGTTGCGTATACTGTATCAGAAGATGGATGCTACTAGACCACGCTCTTTTGTTATCTAGATTTTCCCAAAACAGCAGATGGTCGTGTCTATCACCTTGGTATAAGAGCTGGAGAAGTCGCCAATCGCATTGTACGTCGTAACTCTGTTCTCCTTAATGTGGAAGGTCACTCACTACTTCTAGGTTACCGTGGGCTCGATATCTCGCGCCAATGGTATTGCATCGTTATTAGATCCTGTCCCGAAACCTTTCTCATTATACTCCGAGCGTGGCTTTCTAACTATTACTGGGCGATACAAAACTGTCCCATTGTCAATTATATGCATTGGCATGGGAGGGCCCAACGTCGATTTCTTTATTCGGGAAGTGAGGGAATGTATCGTCGGAGATATGCTTGTAATCAGGTCAGTGCGGTCAACTATCACAACCCCTACCCTGTACACCAAACTCACGCCCCATTTGCAAGGTTAGGATCATGTGGCTGTTTAACAGACTTACCAGTGGGCTCTCTAGTTGTTCCAAAGGCTAGTATAGCCGTGACAAGAAATCTGGATTTCGACTTTGTCGCTGGCAATTCTGTGAATACGAATACGGCATATCGGTTCAGTAAAGCTGTTAGTAGAGATCTAACTTCATCTAACTTATTGATACCCGCCATCTTACCCACCTTCTTCACAGGCATATGCTGACCCAGAACTTCATATCGGGGTACGGTAACGGGTGTACTGACCTATCGCTGCATTATCTGAATCGTTTGACAGCTCTGGAAAGCCCTTGAGGGCACACGCCCTGCCTCATCCCAGACCGCCATAGCTTCAGACGTTATGAATGCTTCTGCTGACAGGTCATATATTCAAAACTACTATCTGCCCCGCCTTTTCTAACTGTGTCGCAGTTTCTACTCTTCTCAAGGAAGACAGACCTCATTTCCGGATCATAACTATGACCTCATCGAGCGCTTGAAGGACACTGTGCCAGAGCTGGTTAGTCTTGAAGTACTAGTTTTTCTACATCATCCTCGGAACCACATAGAACTGATTCGAAACGCCCAAGATGGAAACGTTTTACATATTCCATCTCGCCTCCAGCTGGCATGGTCGCAGGATTCCTGCTCCTTCAATGCCACCTCCTTTAGCCACCGGTCCAGTTACCCCAGCAATTACCTCGCCTGCACCTCCCTCTGAACCTAGTATTCCCATTGAAGGGAGCGCTAAGGCAACAAACTCGAGAATAAGAGCTGCCGCTGTCCACATGGTGTTTGCGTCTCGCACATCGCAGGACTTCATCTCACCTATACAGGTATCCGAGATTGAAAAGTGGAGTGGGCGAGGTGTCTTGGAGGCGCTGCGCGCTTTCGACGTTCCTACCGATGTACGTTCGTTTCTTGGCTTTCACGATAGTATTTTAACCTGGAAACATTATAGAATTTACATCCTGAGAAAGGAACTGTATGGGCACTCCATTAGGTACACCAGGAGTATTGTACAATTTCTGAGAATCTAGTAACTCAACGCTTGTCCCGGCCTTTCAAGCACAATGTATCTATGGCCAGTCTCCTTCTAGTTATGACTGTGAGCAAGTAACATAAACGCAGAAGGAAATAAAAAGAGCTCTCTGGCGGGGAGTCGAACCCCGCTCTCCCGCGCCACTGAAAAGTGAAAGTGACAGGCGGGTGTACTATCCGATATACTACCAGAGATAATTTCTCAGCAGGATGCTTATAATAAAGAGACCATTGGATTGGACCTGACCAAATCTACAAATGAAAGACCGTCAACCGAGTTGGTGAATCGATCTCTGTACCTTTTAACTAGTACTCGTCATATGCGTCCTCGCCCATTTATATACTATCCCTTCAATGGCACAATAGCGACTTTTCCCACTTCTGTATCCCCCCGAATCTTCGCCCTCCTCTGCTACCTTCTCACACTAATCCCCTGGCAACCCTTCCACCACCTTCTCCTCGACTTTTCTCCGTACATCATGCGATCTGGCCTACCCTTCAGAAATCTGTACAGCTGATCCCACAGCCGCAGGCGTTTTAATTGCACCTGCACTAATAGCTCTACCTTTGTGCAGTAACTTGGCACGAGTCGAAGGCAGAACAGGCTTCTACAGGTCGTAATGGGAAGGGTGTCGTATAGCGTATTTGCGCTGACAGAGCTTCTAATAGACAAGTCGTGAGTACCGTTTTTGTCTTCACATTCTTATTCTCCCTCCCCCCCGTTGTAATGTTTCACGCTCTAGTTGGTTCTTTGAGCTCTTTCTACCTTCGAGGTGAGTTGGATCTGCTTATTGGCGCGCGGTGCGCTCTAATCTACTGGTTCACTCACCACTTAATCACGTTCAACGTGTGTGTATCCAGTTCATCGCCCTATTGCATCCCTGGCCTTCCATCTTCGCCCAGGGCGTGCCCGGCGTGCCCATTGAATTCGAAAACGGCGTCGATACTGACATCAATGGCCCTGGAAGTGGGTGAATTGGAGTACTTTGGATAGAAACCGAACAAGACCACAGGATGACAATCGCATACTATGGCTTCAGCCATGGTTTTTCCTTCCCACACGTGCCCTTGTATTGTCAATGAGATTTAAGTGTTCACGTTGTAGTCCTCATGGAATAATACCTGGTACCAGTATGCCCAATTGCCATTAGTATATCGCGCACCCATTTCAAACCCACCTGGATGATCTCAATCTCCTTCTTCCACTTCACTGCATTTCCGTCAATTCCCTCTTATTCATCTTTTCCAACTGTAGTGCGCTTGAGGACTTCTGATAGAAACAGTGCTACGGTCGAAGCAGGAGGTAATGAGGAGTGTGGTACGTGAATTTGATGGTGTGTGCGTCACAATGAATCTGTTTAACGTCGACGACTACCTGTTTCAACACCTGCTTTGTGTTTTCGCGCAGACTCAACGTGGACATCGACATGAGATGATTGTCAGTGCTACTTAGTATGATGCCGCGGCAGAACCCGGAGACGCTGACACCACGACTATGAGTGATCGAGTGAGCCAAAATGCCTCCTAAGTATAACGCTCGTCAGCTGTCTGTCTTCTCTGCAGGCATCCCATTCGATTCCCACTCGATCCGCATGATCCACGGTCGTTGATGAACTACCATGTCGTCTGACTGTCTAACGTGACCTTTACGCGACCTGTTCGTATTAATAGATCCCGAAAATGGACGACCATTTAATCACTTAAATACCGTTATTCTCTTTTCTCTTTCTAGAGCGACACCCCTCAACAATGGCACGTTTTGCGCTCTGGACAGGCTTACATCTGTTCGCATGTCCACTGCTTGCAGCAGCACGCGACCCATCCATCCTCCAACGCGGTCTCGCTACAAATGGCCTACTCGCCTCAAGCGGTTCCTACTCCGGGAACGTAGCAAACTGCCCAGGTAAGTATCAGTGATTCCTCCACCTCTCGTACTCACTCATTCGCATCCACCAGGGTACACGCTCGGGTCACTTGTTGAGTCTGACACGGGCCTCACAGCTCAGCTCGCCCTCGCAGGTACCGCTTGTAATGCGTTCGGACAGGACATCCAAAATCTCACTATTCAAGTGACCTATGAAACTGAGTCTAGGTATTGCCCATTTCTCCCTTTCTTGTATATATGCTCTTCTGACCATGCTCACAGACTTCATGTCAACATCTTCGACACTTCCAACCTCCAGTTCACTATCCCATCCTCCGTCATCTCCCGCCCAGACCCTCCTTCCACTTCCTATGTCAACAGTTCAGACCTGGTGTTTAATTACGACGCTTCGCCATTTGCATTTTGGATAACCCGTCGTTCTCTCCCCGATGCATTCCCCCTCTTCGACACTCGTCAATCATCCCTGCCTGCCACGCCTATTCCCCCATTCATGCCGGGTGACAATAGCACTGCACTGGATGGGTTCCCACTGGTGTTCGAGGACCAATACCTCCAGGTCCGTCCCTGCCTTTTTTGTTCCACTAACACGCGTGCTAACTGACCCACCCCCAGCTAACTTCCTCCCTCCCATATGGCACCAACATCTACGGTCTCGGCGAAGTGATCGCCTCCAGCGGATTCAGACGCGACATTGGCACAGGTGGCGGCGTCGGGACCCTCCAAACCATGTGGGACAGAGATGACCCAGACCCTATCGACGAAAACATGTACGGCTCACATCCCATCTACCTCGAGCACCGCTACAATGAAACCACCGGAAAGTCGTCCTCGCACGGGGTGATGCTCTTCAGCTCTTCCGGTGCCGACATCCTCCTCTCGACCCCGCAGTCAGAGAAGAATGTGTCATTGATCGAGTATAGACTGGTGGGAGGGGTACTTGATTTTTATTTCTTTGCAGGACCGAGTCCGACGGAGGTGATCGCGCAGTATTCGGCTGTGACGGGTCTTGCGAATTGGCAACCTGCGTGGGGTTTCGGGTTTCATCTATGTCGGTGAGTCTTTTTTCGTTCGATTTGTTGAGTTGAAGGTTGGGAGGTGTTGGAGTGGATTGCGAGGGATGGAGGACAAAAGATGGGGATGGGCGGATGGAAATAGTACATGAAATGCTGATGCTGACGCGATATATACCACAGATGGGGTTATCACAACATCAGTATCACACGAGACCAGGTGCTAAGGATGAGAGAAGCCAATATTCCACTCGAGAGTGCGTACCTTACGTTCTTCCCTCTCACAACTTCGCTTTTCCACACTTTTCCTACCCAATCACTTACTCTGACCTCGTGCATACAGCCCAATGGAACGACATCGACCTTTACCACGCTTATCGTGACTTTACTTCCGACCCTGTCAGTTTCCCAGGGGACGAGATGAGGGAGTTTATTGAGGAACTCGTGAGTGGTCTTTCTCTTCATTTTTCCCCTTCGTTTTGGTAAGGGGTGGTCTGAGTGGGCATTCTGAGGGGTTTTGTTTTTGTTTTGTATGTGCTGAGTGATTGAGTGGATTATGCTCTTGATACTAGTGTTCTTCATGTTTTCGAGGAATTTGTTTTATATCATAACGCTGACCTTTCTCAAATTTTGTTACCCCGTAAACCTTTCAAATATAGGCGTCGAATAACCAGCACTGTGAGTCACACTTTTCGTATCGAACTGATTATTTTGATGTTGATGATGGACGACGTCACATAGATATTCCTATAGTAGATGCGGGCGTGGCGATTTTGAATAATGCAACAGACGTTGTACGTTCCTCCTCTCCATTTTCCCACCCGTCCCCTCCGTCTTCTTCCCCTTTGTTTCTAGCTAACACAACCCAACTGATGATTTTCACATCTAGTATTATCCCTACTCCCGAGGCTCCGAACTGTGAGTTTAAATGTGCTATGTCGACGCCCTTTGGTGTGGAAGTTGCGAGGTTGTCCTGCGAATACTGATATGTCTTGGATGATGGCATGTAGGGATGTGTTCGTCAAGAACCCGGACGGGTCGGAGTATATTGGGCAGGTGTGGCCTGGGTATACGGTACGCCTCCGTCTCCTTTGGTTTTTCGTGCTTTGTTTATGTGAAATAACTGACTTTTTTTCTCGATCACTCGATCACACGACCATTGGCATCCTCTCACTTTCCCTCGTTCAATTTTCACAACAACACATACTCTAAATGCCCAAATCAATTATACGCCTAATCCTCGCTTGTTAACCCTACCACACATACTCGCCAGGTCTTTGGAGATTGGTTCGCGAACAACACCCAGCAGTGGTGGTCCGAGGCACTTCGCAACTGGAGCAACTATGGAATTGAATTCTCGGGGATATGGCTTGATATGAACGAGGTTAGCTCGTTTTGTAATGGTTCTTGGTGAGTTTTCTCTTTTGTTTTCTTTGTCTTGCTTTTCGTTCGGGCAAGATGGGACTGGGGTATGCGAAGAAGAAAATGAAGTGCCAAACTGACGTGTTGCTCTTGATTAGCGGGACGGGCGCGAACACAGCAGACACTGGCGTACCTATTGAAATCCCAGGACAGCCTGGTAATCTCGTCACTGGTTATCCTGAGTGGTGAGTGAGCGCGTTCACTACATTGTTTCTCGTTTACACACTAAGAGTCTCCCATCCCAACTCACCTCTATTGGGTTATAAAACCGCAAAAATCACAAAAGCTACAACTCCACGCTCTCAGGCCCGAGTGGTAACATGACTATTAACGGGACATTGACGTATGCCTGTGGTATAGCTGGTGCCGAAGGTGCTCTTGCCAAGCGTGGGATTGGCGCTGGTGAGGAAACAGGTGTGAACCTCAACGACCCGCCCTACGCAATTCACAACAGTAAGTTCCTCATCCTTATCCTCGCACCTCGAACTCAAGGGCATAATGAATACAACAGGCTTTGGCCCCTTGTGGGTGAAGACTCTCGCTACAAACGCGACGCATGCGGGTGGCTATGTTGAGCTTGACGTGCATAATATGTGGGGGATGATGGAGGAGAAGGCGACGCATGCAGCTGTGTCGGAGATCCGTGCTGGGGAACGACCATTCTTGATCTCGCGCTCGACGTTCCCATCGTCTGGGCGGTGGTCGGGCCATTGGGTGAGTTGCCAGTTCTATTTTCCTCGGGCGTTGAATGTTTGAGTGACTGACGACTTATGATTCAAATCAAATCAAATTGATTGTTGTTCAAAGCTCGGAGACAATTTTAGCAAGTGGCAATATATGTACTATAACATCCAGGGTGTCCTGCAGTTCCAGATCTACCAAATCCCGTTTGTAGGCGCAGATACTTGTGGATTCCGTGCGTCTTCATTTTTATTACTTATCCCACCCCCATCATGTTTCTTGTACTGAGAAGATGCTGAAAATGCATTATTTTTCTGTGCAGAGGATAACACAGACGAAGAACTCTGCAACCGATGGATGCAGATGTCAGCGTTTGTGCCATTCTATAGAAACCATAATACGCTTGGAGCGTTATCGCAGGAGCCTTACCGCTGGCCTAGCGTGGCAAATGCATCCCGAATTGCTATTGCGGCACGTTACTCGATGTTACCATACTGGGTGAGTCTCCTTCACTACTAGCTGCCAGTCCATGCTCACAATCCGTCTAATCATACTATTTATGTGTAGTTGACGCTGTTCGCCAACGTATCCACGATCGGGACTCCACCCGTCAGAGCCCTGTTCTATGAATTCCCTGACGAGCCGGAGCTCTTTGAGGTGGACAGGCAGTTCATGGTAGGCCCTGATATTCTTGTCACCCCCGTCTTGACACCCAATGCTACTACAGTGGATGGTACGTTGATTTCATTCCCTTATTTGTGCTGGCTTTGCTGATCACAAATCATGGCAGGAATCTTCCCTGGCCGTGGAACTGTCGTGTGGAGAGACTGGTGGACGCATGATGTGGTGAACGCGACTGTGGGCGGGAACACCACTCTCTCTGCACCGCTGAGTCACATCAATGTCCACATCCGCGACCACTCAGCCCTCCTCCTCCACGCCGAGCCTGCTTACACGATCGCAGAAACGCGCGCAGGCCCCTATGCGCTCCTCATTTCACTTGACACCGCTGGCACCGCGTTCGGAAACGCCTACGTTGACGATGGTATCAGCTCGCCGCCTGGTCCAAGCACAGTCTTGACGTTCACGGTTGCAAATGGAGAGCTGAATGTGAAGAGTGAGGGTGCGTGGGCGATTGAGCAGATGTTAGAGGAGATTACTGTGCTTGGGGTGCAAGCAAAGCCGACGGAGGTGACGTTGGGTGGGGCACCTGTTGAAGGGTGGACGTATGACGAGGGCCAGGAAGGATTGACTTTTTCTAATATTAGCGTGGATTTGAATGAGAGTTCGATGTTGGCGTGGAAGTGAGGAGCAAGTGTAACTGGTTGGATTTTTTAGTCGATCTATAGTGCTATACAATGTTTTCTAGCTCATTTCTTTGCTTTCTTCTCACTTTTAACGATTTAAAAAGGATGATGCAATACTAGTACCAGTAATTGTTTCTTGCTTTTGAATGGGACTACAACTTCCATCGAAGAGGATAGTATCTTAAATAGTGAGATCAGCGAGCCTCAGATAGGCAGCACCTCAAAACCAGTGAGCACTATTCATATAATCTGTGAGGACCATACCCTGCTAGTGGGATATGGTCGATAAGCACTAACCATGCCAGATGATTTGTGTGGACCATACCATATAGCAGGGATATGGTCGGTGTGAACTATCCCAAGAAGTATAATCATTAATAGTGGAAAAGGGGGGCTTGTTTTTAGCATTGGTGCTCCATCTGTGACAGAGAAAGTCAAAGAGAGCACAGAGACAAATGTCTTTGTTGGAATGTTAATACACTAACATTATAGTTACAATACTATCAGATATTCACATATGTGACTCCCTTTCCCTCCTTTATATATACAAGATTTTGTACTTTTTTCCCCCTTCAGTTGATTCCAATCTACTGAAGGGGTATGTTATTTCAGTCTTCTACTATGATAACAGTAACTTATTTATTTCTATTACAGTACTGATAGAACCTAGTTTCAATAGATTATGAGCCCTAGTCTGTTGGAGTACAAGCGAGGACAGGCCACTTGCCACTTTAAGCCATGGACAAATAGGAACTATGGAACCATTGTACAAATGCATGTATGTCTCAGCTTCAAAGCCGGACAATTGATTATGTACGCTGTTGCTTTGGCCAAGTAACAGGTTATAAGGTGCTCGAGCACAGAGACTTGCTTCAGACCTTTCTACAATTCAGTCACCCCCAAAACATAAGCATTTAGCTTCAACTATCTGTGTAAATGTATAAAGCTAAGAGCTTGTTTTTCCTGGTATCATCCCAAGTGCTCCAGCAAGGATGGGATCATCCCAGAAGTGGGATAATACCACCCTTCTGGGATTTTCCCATGGTATCAGACCATTTGTTATGGTGGGATAATCCCAGACATTTGCCACATGTCACATGGTGTCAGGGGGGCTTTACTGCAAAAATAGTTCCTGCATAAATGTAGCCAACATCAATACATTATCAATAGTACTAATAGCCATGAAGCAGAATACAATACTACCTGCTTTCATCATTTATAACATATATACAAATTTCAAATGGTGTTTACTCTCAATTGAACCTTAATTTGTCCAGCTTCTAGTGTAATATCATATACTATAGATTGATGGAGGAGACTTTGACCAAAGGTTAGTGTAACTAATTGTGACATATAACCATTTACAAATTAACCTGATTTAATTCAGTTGATTAGGAGATAATTCAACCATATCTCTTTTCCTTAACTGACTATATAACTTTGTCATTCCTACTTATCATATAATTTACTGCATATCACAAAGTAGATTTATCTACCCTGGATTTCTATCAATGTTACTTAAAATGGCTTATAGTCAAAGGAATACAAGATGTTTGACAATACCAAGCATATACATCTGCAGGATTACAATACCTCTCATTCAGGCTCATCCAACTTTAAATAATGTAACACTCTTGCAACCAGGCAAAGATATGTCACAAATCCATTTAATGTGCTGATCCAAAAGATATGATATTTTTTTGAATTGTGCAGCTTTATCCAAGTGCCTGAACTGAAAAATGCACAAAGATACCAGTCCGAGTAAGTACTACATATTCATTATCCTTCCCTCTGCTGCATCATTGTCAAAGGCAGAACATGTCTTGCATGAGACAAATTGCTGGCTCTTTGTGGCAGCCCAGCATCCACAAGCCAACACCCATTTTATCCACTATATGTCCCCACGCATACAATTGATTATAAATTTTTGTGAAAACAAAAATGGCTGAAAGGTGTGCTCTGCATGCTTATGCAATTTCATGTGACTTGGGATGAACCTACGTGAGGGCTACTCTGAATCACTGTCCCAGTTCAACCTTAGGTTCATCCAGGTCCTACCATAACATAATAGTTGGTTTACAAACAAAATACTGCAACATGTAAAAAATGGAAACTGCTGGAAAAGGACAATAATATTTTAAGCTGCTGGGAACTTACCTATGATTATATGTTACAGAATAACCTTAGTGCATTTCAGGAGTATTTTCCCCTGTCATGCTGAGTCACCAGCAGCCTAAGCATGCTATTCGATAATTCTGTTCCTGTTGTGGGATCTCCCTGTCCTATTCTGACTCAGGGTGATCTTGTCCCCTGCTTGGATTTGTCTGTGATGTAGTGAGATGATCCTATGTAATTTGGAGATTTTTCTAGATCAGATTGAACTGGAATGATCCCATCTCTTTCCAAGACTTTCCTTGGCTGGTTTGGGATGATGCTTTACCCTTCAGGCATTGGTCCATATCAAATTGTGATGATCCCATCCCATTTGGTATTTGTCCACATTTAACTGGGATCATCCCCTTTTTTGCTGGGATTTTCCCAGATTGGTTTGAGATGACCCTATCCCCCCTTGGTATTTGTCCATGTTGAACTGAGATTTTCCCAGATTGATTTGGGATCATCCCATCCTCTTTTGGTATTTGTCCATGTTGAGCTGGGATCATCCCATCTCTGGCTGGGATTTTCCCAGAGTAGATTGGGATCATCCCATCCTCTTTTGGTATCTGTCCATGTTGAGCTGGGATTGTCCCATCTCATTTGGTATTTGTCCATGTTTAACTGGGATCATCCTATCTCTTGTTGGGATTTTCCCAGATTGGTTTGGGATCATCCCATCCTCTTTTGGTATCTGTCCATGTTGAGCTGGGATTGTCCCATCTCATTTGGTATTTGTCCATGTTTAACTGGGATCATCCTATCTCTTGTTGGGATTTTCCCAGATTGGTTTGGGATCATCCCATCCTCTTTTGGTATTAGTCCATGTTGAGCTGGGATCATCCCATCTTATTTAGTATTTGTCCATGCTTAACTGGGATCATCCCATCCTTTGGTGGGATTTTCCCAGATTGGTTTGGGATCATCCCGTCCTCTTTTGGTATTTGTCCATGTTGAGCTGGGATCATCCCATCTCTGGCTGGGATTTTCCCAGAGTGGATTGGGATCATCCCATCCTCTTTGGTATTTGTCCATGTTAAGCTGGGATCATCCCATCCTATTTTGGTATTTGTCCATGTTCAACTGGTATCATCCCATCTCTTACTGGGATTTTCCCAGATTCAATTGGGATCATCCCATCCTATTTTGGTATTTGTCCATGTTAAACTGGTATCATCCCATCTCTTGCTGGGATTTTCCCAGATTCAATTGGGATCATCCCATCTCTTACTGGGATTTTCCCAGATTCAATTGGGATCATCCCATCCTCTTTTGGTATTTGTCCATGTTAAACTGGTATCATCCCATCTCTTGCTGGGATTTTCCCAGATTCAATTGGGATCATCCCATCCTCTTTTGGTATTTGTCCATGCTTAACTGGGATCATCCCATCTCTTGCTGGGATTTTCCCATATTGGTTTGGGATCATCCCATCTCATTTGGTATTTGTCCATGCTTAACTGGGATTTTCCCAGATTGGTTTGGGATCATCCCAGATTGGCTTGGGATTATCCCATCCTCTTGTGGTATTTGTCCACATTGAGCTGGGATCATCCCATCCCTTTATGGTATTTGTCCATATTGAACTGGGATGATCCCACCCCCTTCTGGTATTTGTCCATGTGAGAAGTGGGTAACCCCATGTTACGTGGGGACATGTACAGATTTAACTGGGATGATCACACCCTATTTCAGGGATTTGTCCAGATCAGTGTGGGATGATCCTCAGTAAAAAAAATCAAAAGTTGGGCAATGTCAATGGTCAGAATCAGTTTTGAAGGAAATTACCTGAGTTCTACATATTGCCATAAAAATGATAATCCAAAAAGAGTGGTGTGAGACAGCATCACTATCATATGAGAGACAGAGAATGTTGGCAGAAACCTTACTTGGCATGAAAAAATATTTTCCGGATTCATTTCAATTTCTCAAGAATCTAAAAAAAGAATACCTTTACAGCACTCAGATTCTTTGTGGACTTAGATACTGTACTATACACAGTCAGCATATAGGCACCAGTCACCCCTTAGACCTTCAGCTGGTAGCTCCCAGAAATGGCACAACTCAAGGTATTAAATACCTAAGCAGTGCCTAATTAATCCTCACACTCAAGTCATCTAGTGTAGGAGTATCAAAATGGAGATCTTGTGTATTATACTGTACATAGCAAGCATCCCCCTCTCCCCATAGACCTTCAGCCAGCAGCCCCCAGGAACCACTCTCAGAGAATGTACAATATAAGGTATCAAATACCTTGGTAGTGCCACAAAAGTGGTAAATTCATGTTTTTGCAAGAACATGACTTTATGTTTCTTTTTACTATGTTTTACTTTCTACAAGGTCAGGATTTTCCTCACAGAATATGCCAGATCTAGTGTAAATCTAATATTCGATGTCCTTCTGCAGATTACTTTGTTGTCACAGCATTTGTGTTGTGTTTCCTAGTTTTTACTTCAGTTAAGGGTATAATAAACCTTGCAAAAAAGCAGAACTCACATATCACATCTATCAGCAAGGACAACAGCATCTTTCTAGTGTATGGTTCCTGCAATTGATTATATCTAGAAATTGATAATGTTCCACATTTAAAAAAAAGGGAATGCTTCTCCCCAAATTTGCAGTAAGCTACAATGAGGAACTTGTAACTCATATATTTCAAAATAGTCTTGATTATATTGGGCTAAAGTACCATTATTCAGGTGGAAAAGACTGGAAATATCTTCACTAGTTGGCCCAGCATTCTCACATGTTAGTATTAGCACCAATCCCCCTGATACCATGTGACATGTGACAGGTTATTGGGATTATCCCATCTGAGGGATAATCCCACTATGGTACATGGTCTGATACCATGGGAAAATCCCAGAAGGGTGGTATTATTCCGCTTCTGGGATGATCCCATCCT